TACACGACCACCCCCCCACATATACCCCACACACACATCACACACATACACAAACACCACACATACCATACACAACCATCCCCACACCACACACCACACTTACATACCACACATCACACACATCACATATCACACATACACTACACCACACATATCACACACACCACACATATCACACATGCACTACACCACACATATCACACACATCAGACACACACACCACACACGACCGCACATACGTATACCACACACACCATACACACATCACACACACACATATACACAAACACTACGCACATGATACACTACACACACCCCACAACCCCATGTACAACACACACTCTATACATCACACAGCACACACGCCTCTTCCCCAGCCTCTTCCTCTCACGGCTGGAAGGGCTCCGACAGGCCTGGCCCATAGCCCATCTCACACACACACACACACACACACACACCCCGCTTAGAGAAGGACCAGTTCTGTGCAGAGAGGGGAGGGTCCTCCAAACTCCGTCCCAGCTGCCCCAGGATGGGCAGGAAGGCCCTGAGCCTTCCAGTCCTGGCAGCAGTGGCCTGAGATGTGGCGGCCCCTGCAGGCAGACGCAGGAGCTGCAGCATCTGTGAGGCAATGACAGGTGGCTGCTGGGGCACCCAGTTCACCCAGGACACAGCCTCTCCAGCCGAAGGGACCACCACCTCCATTGCTTAAAGCTCCCAGAATACTGTAGCGCCGCCCCCCCCCCGCCCTTATCTGCGGTTTTACTTGCTGTGATTTCAGTTAGCTGCCGACTGAAAATATTAAATGGCAAATTCCTGGAATAAGCAATTCATGTTACAAATGATGCGCCGTTCCGAGTAGCATAAGGGCATCTCATGCCATCCTGCTCTGTCCTGGCTGGGATGTCCATCATCCTTTGTCTAGCGTATCCGCGCTGTTTATCCACTTAGTAACTGTCCGTTATCACATCCACTGTCACGGTATCGCGGTGCTTCTGTTCAAGTCACCCTTATTTTACGTACTAATGACTCCAGAGCACAATGCTATTGTGATTAATCTCTTACTGTGCCTAATTTACACATTAAACTGTATCCGAGGTATTGTACGTGCATCCACTGGAGGTCTTGGAACATATGCCCCGCGGATAAGGGGGTCCACTTTATTTTTAGTATAATAGTAATAAAGAAACAGGGCGACCGAGTTGTAGTATATTTTAAGTGTTTACTTGGAACAGGGTAACGCTTTTGACACCTACACAGCAGTGTGACTGTGCTATTCACAAGATAACAAATTAAAAAACAGAACAAACCACAGAGCACTGAAGGCTGGAAGTGGGACACCTGTTTACCAGGTGTACCGGTTAATAATGTGGATTTTTTCAATAGATGGAGTTACCCATATGTTGATATATGTGCGATTTGATATGTACGCTATTTTGTTGTATTGACAGCAAGCTTCAAAACTTCATATGTCAAATTTTCTGAAGGTGTTAACATCATAGATATTTTTACGCTTAAAAATGTCGAATTCCGTGCCAAAACAAATAGCATTTGCGGGAAGTTTTAATTCATTA